CATTTTATATTTTTTAATTAGAATAATTTAATTTTTACAATCAAATTAATATTTCTCGGTAAGTAATGCAAACAATTGAACAATAGTTTTAATTTAATTTAAATTGTGTTATGTATACTTATAGATATAGTACATTGATGTAGGTACTAATAAATAATAATTAAAAATCAAAATACATATACAGCTTTTTATTTGAGATTAAATCGTTGCAAATGGCTTTGGTCCAACTTTTATTACTTCGGGTCGTTGTATAGTAAATTGTACATAATTTTATGTTTAATTTAAAATTATTTAAAATTAAATTGAAGTATTAACTAGAGTTTGGGTTCAATTTAAGGTTATATTTGTATACTATATTTAATATTACATTCTGGCCTTATATATGCATTATTATTTCAGTATACCACATTGTGTTTTCATTGAATTTTTATGGTCCAAGATTTGGGCCTAAAGACAGCAGTTCAATGAACCAAACTACATCAATAACGGAGGTTATTGATTTAACCACTCCACCAGCTAGCCCAAAAATCATAACATCAAATAACAATGAGTATAAGGTTAATGCTGTTTTTATTATTATTAAAAAAATTTATATTGGTAGATATTTTATTTATACAAATTGCATGATTATCAACTTAAGTCAATCTCATAAAGCATAGCTAAGTTAATTATTTTTATTAATTCAACATAAAATACTATGTGGGTTAAATATTTAATTATAATTTTATTGACTACATTTTTTTATACATATAAGTTTTATTTTTTTATGTAATTTAACTGGTGGTATTATAGATATAAGTTGTTTTTCTAAGCTAATGATTTAAATTTGTGTTTAGACAAACCAAATATGTACCTAATGCACCTACACAATGTACAGTATATTCACTATATTTTTTAATTACCAAACTTATTCTTTAAGATTAATTTTTCTTAACTTAGGTAATACTTTTGAGATATCTTTCAACCAATATAATTATTTAAATACTTATTATTTGACAAATTGAAATAATATCAGTTATGATAACAATCATACCAAACGAAAAACTCTTAAAATTAGAGTACCAAATTATTTATTTTTTCTGTTTTAATATGTATATATTGTGTATAATAAAATTTTTTTTTAAACACAGATCCAACACATAAGACTCAATGAACAAAATATAGTGTGTATTAACTTAACACCATATTTATACTCTGATTTGGTGGTGATCTTGGACGACCTAGTCCAGAAATTGTTGCCTTCAAGCAATCAAATTGAATGTGCAAATCTTCTGTTTGCAAAATTTGATTCAGCGCTGTACAGGGGAGATTAGTAAGTAATAAGTGTCTAGACTAATCGTCCTTCTTATCATTCTTCTTATACTCATCACTATCTTATGGTGATAATCAGTAGTTAATGAATTTCGCTCATTGTTTGTTTTAACAGTTATCACAAGGCCGTATTGAGGTCAAATGGGTTCATTGGATCGGACCTTATACTGATGGCCAAGTTGAAAGACGTCCAGCAAAATTTTAAGCAGCTCAAGAAATTGTTGATAAAGAGGCAGCACATCTCTACGAATGCCACGGTCACGGCAGAAGCCGACCGGTCTGGTCCATGACAGTGGAGTGCAGTGTATTTAGGTACATACACCACTGTTACTTAGGATTCATCTATAAAAATATTAATTTTGTACATATTTAACAATAATATGATTGCAAAATATTATTTTTTTCTCTTTTAGTTGAATTTTCACTATTACCTACTAATATAATATCTTATTAAGTTAACTAATGTTATTTTAATTAATTAAAGGAATTAAAACAAAATTGACTTTTGTTTAATTATTAGGTTTTATTATTGAAATTAATAGCTATTTGTTTACTTTTATTTTTATATTTACTAATGAATAGGTAGAGAAATGAATATTAAAATTTAAAAAACTTAAATAGATGTATTTAAAATTGTTTTAATTTATTGATTTTAAATATTAACTATTCATAATTGTAAATATTACAAGTATTTAATGAGTACAATTGGCATGCATTGCCTACCTAGGTGGGTATAAGTTGCACAGTATTATCGTGTCCACAATTCACTACAGGTTGTAGGTACATCAATCAATTTTCCCTTGAAGTGACTTGTAAGAAACTCAAAAATATTATTTGACTTTACACTTTTTACAAATTTAAAAACACATGACAGCACAAAGCGTTCAATCAGTTGTAAGAATATGGCATACACATTTTTTAATAAATATATTTATAAAAAGAAAGCAAATCTTTTCATGGGCGATGGGCGATGCCGGGTATCTATACTACTTACATGTTTAGCACAAAAAAAAATATTACCAATGTATTTATAAAATACTACCTTGTACCTATATCTACTGTAAAATTTATCCCATTTTGTATCAAACATACAATTTATTATAAGCTGTACCTAATATTATATCTTTTGGGTATATTAGGTTTTATTATATCAGGTTAGTTAGGTATCGTTAATTCAGTTTTGGCAATATTAAAATACATTTATTAAGATTATGATAAATGTTGTAAATTGTAATTATGTGCTCACACATAGTTAAATAAATAAAATAAAATGTAATAGACGAATAAATAACGGCCAGACTGTCAGACGTATAGAAATCGGACATCTCCAGAATCCAATAAAATCATTGCCACAGACAAAAAGACTTCAACTATATTAAACCATCACAAATTCAAAAATTGGCACTTACCTATTGGCAACTGTAAGGCCCAGGGCGTGTGGCTTTCTTACATGCCAACAGAGAAAATGGGTATGGCCAAAAAAGGTACTTGTCGCCAAAAATAAATCTACCTCTCTGATTTGCAAAACAAACTTTTGATACAGCCGCCTACTACTCTCTGGTCAGCATAATCATGTCGTCCCTTAATCAGTACATGAGCATCAGCCTTTAGCAACAACCACCAAACACTGAATCTTAAGATCAATAAAAATCAGTGTGTTTTTCACTAATTATATTTATGTATTTTGAGTAATCAATCCATGTTACCTAAAACTTGTACAGCATAATCTAGAGGCAGCTGGGAGTCAGGTAAGACATTTAATATAAAATATATTAAATTGACTGCATTCTATTATAATACATTCATAGTTTACACAGTGCAATTATATTGTACGGTGTATTTGATCAAATTCTCGAATACATGACCTCTAAAGCCCTCCGAACAACTGGAGAAAGGTAGTAGTGTAATTCAAATATTTGCATCTAGTATTATTCTCCAGCACTTATAAGTGTAGACAATCATTCAGATTCTTAATTTAAATATCAGATCTTAATATAATTATAGGCAGGAGCCTCATTTCTATTCATCTTATTTTTTCGTTATTTCAATTGCATGTATTAAGTAACATTTTGATTAATAACAGGGCTGTCTCCTAATATGCGGTCTACCAAAATGGACGTGGTCTACTGTAATAATATTAAAAGTATAAAAAAAAAAATTCAAATTTATTAAGAAATTCATTTATAATTGTTATACTATAAATTACATTAAAACACAGTTTTCAAATAGCTATTAATAGTATAAATAAAATATGTTTTGATAAATTAAGGATCTACAAAATTATCCACAAAGTATAATTTGATATCTCTAAGGAAAGCATCAAAAATGTTTTCAGTTTTATTTGATTCTCACCACTAATACTCCGCTAAGTACCTCTCTAAGAGGTCTTCCATTGGTACCACACATTTTCTTAACAATTTAAAGTCTAAGAGGCTTTCAAAGACTTTCAATTCTTTGCGTATTGGCACCAGTTTCAGGTTCCAAAAAATTTGTTGAATGATTAACTGTTTCATATACATAGCATTTTTCAGATAAACCTTTATATCCAAACCAGGAATAAGAATGAACAGAATTGTTACATGATAAAATATATATTGTTATGAGCAATTAAGATAAAACATAAATTGGTAGATAATAAATAATTTATTAAATATAAATGGATTCCCAGCTATAAGTAGAACACCATAACATTGATAGACCGTATACTGTACTCATATTTATAGTTACCTAGTACACAAAACGGAGGTAGACCGCATATTGGGAGATAGCCAATAACAGTACATTTTTGTTATTTATTGATATAATATAACATTATAATATTTTATTTATTGCTATTTTATTTGGGCAAGGATATATAAATTTATATTATATGCATGTCTAGCTTCTCGCGTTGCACAAAGTAAAGGTTGAATTAACATCCAACACTTTACAGCAAAAAAACTTGATCATATAAAAACTATCATAGGACTTAAAACATCAAATGCAATATGCATCTCTTTAATAAATATTCTCGTATTGAAAAATTCAACCGACTAGACAAACGATATTTTTGCCATTTTTTTTTTTTGTGTCTGTGCAAAACACATATCCAAATATTTCAATTCTTCTATTCAATTCAATTTATTATCTATGACTTAAGCAACCATAGTCCGTACAAGAGTTTTATGATTTACAGCTAGTGTAAAGTGTACACTACGATCTAGTTCTACGAAAAGCCTTATCGCATGACATATTGAATGGTCCATGTCTCATAAGCAATTTAATATAAGAGTCGTGTAACCAGTACATCTACAACCGTAGTTTCAATAAACAAAGGGAGCCAAACCTTGTAAAAACAGTAAATAAATGCCGGGTTGCATGAAAAATGTATTAATTTAAAGGTCCAATAACATTTAATGGACCAATCATGGGTCACTAAATCATATTTAAAGGACCATGAGCTCACTGTTGATTCATTAAATGTTTAGTGATTGTTCGTGCAACCCGGCAAAAGTCTTTTAACATATAATGTTGTTAAATTTATTTTTGATTTCATAATATAGCTTACACAACACTATATTATAAACTAAATAAACAAAAATGAAAGTCTAATGTAAAGAAAATGTATAATGATTTATTTGTATTTTTCATTTAATTAATGTAATTTTTTATAATAGTATGTTCAATCTAACTGGTAATCTGTTACCTACTTAATTATCACAAAACGTAGATAATTGTTTTACAGTTACCATTAGTTGAGAATAATTACTGTCACCAACTGTATTCCTTAACAGTACACTATAAATGGTTTTTAGTTCATCTTCTTTGTCAGCCAGCCATCTGAAGAAACAAATTAACTTTGAATCACTTAAAAATAATTTGATTTTAAACAATAACTATAATATCTTAACTTATACTAAAACAATTGTATACTAAATTTATATTATTTTTGACAGGCTAACTTACTTCAATGTTTTAGACATTTTGATCATAAATTTCAAGAGATTGCACACATTTTCGTAGAGCATTTTTAAAAATTTTAGTTTTTTCATTTCAAAGTTTGATTCATCTACAATGGCTAACTCTTCGACTTGATCTGATATAGGTACATCTCTCATTATGTCCTTATTTTCCAAGAACATCAAAAACACTGCATCACATTTTCCCAATGTTCTTATAATGGACTCGACATGTTTAACAAGCCATTCACCTGAGTCATAACATAATATTGATAAAAGTGGTATGAATCATAATAATAATTGGGTACATTTTACATACCTATGATACCATTAATAAAGCGCATGTCTAATCTTATCATTTTTACAAGAACTTCAAGAGCTTCCACTGGACACTTAATTTTAAAATATAATTCAAATGAATTACTATAGTAAACCTTTGTCTGATATAAAAAAGAATCAGCCTCTTGAGACTTCATATTCATGATACATTTTCTAGTAAATAAACATTCACATTTATTTTAAAAACGATAAGTCAAACAGCATAATTACTATTAATATATTATAAAATGGTGTTGTCTATACATACTCCAAACGAACAGAATACAAAGATGCCAAACCTAAGTAAATAAATGCGGCTTGATACTCATAATTAAATCTATTGGGTGTATCATTTTCCAAATCGCAATATTTCAAAGCTATTATGAATGAATTGATACATTCTTGGTAGTTACTTGAACCGTCCTAAATATTGAAAAATTAATTCTCATTAATATAATTTATATATATAATTTTAATCATAATAATTTTATATAATTCAAACAGCTGTATACTTACTCGGTATAGTGCCAAATAGTTTTGAACTGACAAATAGTACTGAACTGAAAATAATTCATAGAAAACCATATCCCAAAGTTTTCGATTAGAATTACGTTCCTCAAGCTCAGACAAACTTTTCATATACATATTCACAGCCTTAAATTGCATTTAATACATAATATATATTTTAAGCTAAAATTTAATCATTTATCTATAAAACCAACCTTTAAATATAAATTATCTTCTTTAAAAAATTCTTTGGTATGAATCTGAAATGTTGATGAATATCCTGCTATGTCTCTGTACACACATGCTAAGTTTATATGTATCATTACAAAGTTAGACTTATCATTATTTGTTTTAAATATATCACTTCCCAATGTTAAATAATGCTCTGATTTTTTTTTAAGCCATTTTAACTTTACAGGAGTTAGAGAGATGTTATTTTGTATGGCAACTACATAAAAATACAATATTAAACAATTTAAAAAATATATATACATTAATAGTTAATAGATTTTAAATTATACTTCAACTTACCTAATATTTCACTCATGTAAAATTTAGAGTATTCGCTGTAAACACTGCCTAAACGTTTATTCAGAGAAGTTTTTTCCTGAATATTTGTTTCTAATGCTAAAGCACGCAAGTAACACTGTTCTGCTGCATTCAACAAGCTTTCTCTTGAATTATTGAGTCTTGTCGGAATTAAATTTAAATCTAAAACGTTAAAAAAGTAATTTATTATTATGTAAGTAATTATAGTTAAGTAGTACAATTAAGTACTATTATTTGATGACCTTTGATAGTGCAGTATTTAGAATTAATTATCAATGTCTCTCTTAATTCAACATCATAAACTTCATCAGTTTCAAACTCGCTCGTATACTGTTCTATTTTATCCCAAACATTCAAAATTGATAGAAAACAATTGCCACAACATTCTAATACACCTCTCAATAAATTGAAGATATTTTGTGTATTAGAATTGAATAGTTGACATTCAAGTGATCGGCGAAAAAATTTTAATGCTATTCCATAACTTAAGAAAAAAAATACATGTTTAACATTTAACAATTTAAAATATTATTCACTCATCTTACTTATTGGATTTAAAACATTTTCCGCCTAAAATAAAATAAACATTTGATGCTTTTTCGAAAAGTATTCTTCTGAGGCGATGTTCAACCTTTTTTAAGATCAAATTTAAAATTTAAAATTGTTTTTTTTTTTTTAAATGAACAGTTATACTAACCGAGATATCTTCATTATTCTTGAAATATTGTAAACCACTTAAACTGCATCCAATATAATACAATGCCTTATAAATACAGTCGTCTATAGTTATTATCAAATTATTTGCAGTATAGTATTCTGGGTCTAAAATAATAAAAAAATATTGTATTCAAAATCATAAATTGTCTTCCAATATAAAAATTACCAAAATAATATTTAATTATTACTTTGGGTTATATTTTCTTTCTTGTCTGATATATTTTCACTTTGAATGTCAACAGAATAAGTCCAATGATCAAAATTAGTTGATGCACTGCTATTCTGAACATGACCATCAACGGATATCTTACCCAAATAAGTGCAATCTGCAATTTCATGGCTTAATGGATTATTATGCACTGCAATGTAGATATCTGATAGCATGTAATTGACAGATGTCACAGCCTGAAAGTTAGGAAATAATACCTGTGATTAGAATATCAACAATCAATATTAGTTACTAGTCATTATTACTTGAGGGTATTTAGTTTTGTCTAATAATTTTAGACAATTGTTTAGTAAATGTATAATAGTAACTGGATTATATAGTTTTCCATCTTCTGGGTTATGTCTAAATTTACAAGCAACACGGTATAATAACCTAGCCACTGGAACTGCAAATGGATTTACGCTATCAATTAATGATTCAGAACACAATGTTGTCAAATCATAAAGTTTTACCAGATTATCATTTTTTCCTGTAATTGAATGGGTAAAATTCATAATAATCTCTAGTTTTACATACAATAATGAAATAATTAATACCTTTAAATAACCAGTATGTGTGTCCAACACTTATAACATTTGATTTTAAAAATGATAATGTACTTTGTATATTATTGCTTATATTTTGTGGTGAAAATTTTGAGCCATTCAAAAATGGTAAATCTTCAGTCTTTAATAACTCATAATTGTGGACAATACCATTTATATGATAACACAATTCAATGTTGGGGATTTCGCACATTAAATTATCCAGCCAATAATCAATTCCAGTCAATATACTCAGAGGTTTTGACATGTCTCTAAAATTAACCAAACAACATTTATATTCTCTTACTCAATAAAAATCATAATAAAGTATGTTCGTAGGTAAATATTAAACCTCAGTCTTGCACTTAAAGAAGAATTATTGCAACTTTTAAAAACTGGTAAATTTGTACCAATTAACATTTGCAAGTTTCCAAAATCCCATAAAACATTTCGGTTAAATAGTTGTTGATTTTGAGGAAAATCTGGAAATACTTCTTCTGGTATCGTTTTTGGTAGAGGAGACAATAACTGTAAATAATTTATTCACACATTATTGCAATAAGTAGGTATTTAACTAAAATATAACAGTGATGTTTTTAAGTTAAACTTACTGGAGAAGTGTCGTTATGAAAAATGTTATTTTTTGCTTTATAATTATGGGAATCCATTGCAATGCTATGGTGCAGAAATTTTGATACCAAAGCTTTATTTTGTATACTTCTAAAATCATTCTGTTTATTAGTGATACATTTCACCTATTGTATACGAATAAAAATATTAAATTCTATAAGACATAATTCAATTCAATTGAAAATTCTTGATAGGTATCTATCTACCTAAACTGTATTTATAACTCTACAATTTTATTATTAATATCATACATAATTTTGAGTTCCAAAAAATAACTTAATTACATATTGATGATTATCGACAATATTTAGCAATGTTTTATTATTTGATTACTAAATTTTTTTCACACCAAAACAATTAGTAAACTAATTTTACCAGGGACAGACACGTAATATTTTAACTGTGCCTATCAGATAATTGAAGACAAATTAATACACACTGATATTAAAGTAGATAGGTACCTACTGATAACAATAATACATAATTTAAACTTGAATGATATATTTATTGAATGATTATTATATCTTAGAATTTTTGAAATTTTTAAAGTTAAACACTATCTAGTATGTATCTACTAACGTCGATGATCAAGGTAGTACTCCATACATGCACCCTAGATGATACAATAACCTATTTAGTTTTGTATACAATATATAACACATATATGTTACCCAAATTGCCACGGCCGGGCCATCCAAACAGCCGGTCATCTGTCTATAACTGGATTAAAATTGAATATATAATGAAAATAGTTTATATTTGACTTAAAACTAGTAACAATGTATCATTTTTTTTTAAAATTGATTGTTCTTCATGACCTTTTGTTTAGACAAAAAAAAAATAATACAATATGCAATGCAATAAGCCAATAAATTATACAAGTTTTCAGTGCATATTATTCTGGGCCCTATAATAAGCTAGTAATTATACATTTATATTAAAATCATTCATGTATTTCATATAATTCATTTTATATCAAAGACGGAGGATATCCAGTGGGAGCTTTCTTCATTATATCACTACACACAACTTAATATTATATCAATCATGCTTATTGTTCAATTATTATGCAATACATATCAATTAAATACCTATATTAATATTTTTAATTATTATAATTTTTATAAATTAAAATGCCTAATAAGGCCATATATAAAAGAAGCCCACTCTAAATATGTCTATGCTTACCTTAGTATCAGTAGATCTTACAATATTGTTGTAAAAGAATTTTTTTAACCAGTCCCATTTTTCGTTTGTTGCCTTGATCAAGTGTTTCTCAATATCAAATTCATCTAATAAAAATGTATTATCAACTCTATGAACCATCATGCTCACCTTTAACAAAAAATGAAAAATTTAATGCTAATGACAATACAACGAAATGTAAATGCTTTATTTATTAGAATAACTAAATATAATATTTATAAACCTAATGTAAGTTCATCTATATGTACTCAAATAAAATATTTTTTTTATATATTAATAAAATAATTTGGCATTGCAATATCTACATGTTCTTGTATATCATACATATTTTATATAATATTTAGTGCAAAGTCGGGAAATGAAAAACATTATTATTTACTTACAGATTTTTTATCATATGATATCTTACACAGGTTCTTAAAATTTTCTGCATTTGACACAAAATCCACTTTGCCAATGTATTCAAGAAACATATCAGCCATTTGAAAACTTAAAAAGATAAACATTATTAATTTAATTTTATGTATTGGTATTTGTAAAGATTAGTATCCCCAAGATATTTTACCTAGAAAAATCATGCACATCTCCAGTCGTGTATCGTATTCCATATGATTCTCCTTCACTTTTTAACCAATTTGGTGGAGGCAAATTTAGATTGGTTTTATGTTTATGGCGAATAAAATTTGGCTCTTGAACTGATGAATATATTTGCCTGGATTTTGATTTAATTTTGCTAAATATTTTAGAATCTAAAGCCCTGCGCTGACTGGGATTTTCATTAACTTGTTTGTCCTAAGAATAAAGATATGTAAATCAGATATAAACAATTGAAAAATAAAAAAATTGTAATTAGATCCATCAGTACATAATTGGAATGAAAATATGTCTTTTTAGTATAAAAAATAGTCATGTTTTCAAGTAGGTTAACCTAGTAACTATTATTTAAAAATATCCTACAATAGATCTTCTGGGTCTTCCGTGTAGGTAGCTTATATAGCTTATACCTCATTCTTAAGGGGGCAAAATACCAAATACCTAACGACATAATCATTATGAAACACATTATAGGATTATATGAATATGGACACAGAACCATATAATCAATGTGGTCACACCCCCTAAACCTCAAAAATAGTATTTTGTCCATTTGACCAGAAACAGAGGCATTATGATTTTAGTTTTAATACATTGAATTATGTCTTAGCTTTGTGATTACACACAATAATCAATAAAAATATCATTCAAATGATAATCTAATATTCTAGTTGATGTCAGCTAGTACTACAGCCATAAGCTATGTGTTATCCATTAAGTATTAACATTTAACAGCTAGCTACCAGCAGCTTTTAAACTTCTAGATAGTCCATGATCGTTAAGTAGGTACTAATGTTTTTATATATTGAATGCTGTACACTTGTAAATATTAATTATATATAATATTTAATTATATTAAAAAATCATTTTAGTATCTAATATTAACTATTTGTTTTTTCAAAGGTTAAATTTTAAGAATATTTGCACTTCCCAGATAGGGTGGCTAGATGATTCCTTAAAACCGCCCATTCGTTTAATAAAGTGGAATCTTATCGATGACGTTAGGTTGTTACCTACCCATTTTGCTCTTAGCATTTGAAAATGATGGCAAATTATTTCAACTTACCATGATGTTGACATATAGTGTTGACTGACGACGAGGTGGCTAGATGAAGGATAAATGACGTGACACTTGAAGAGAACGACGATGATAGTAATGACTGTTGACTAATTATTGTTTAAGACTTCTGACTGGACGCCGCATTTGATGACATTTACTTTACACAGTTGTAATGGCAGAATACTTGTTGCACTGAGAAAGTTCATAGTTGCCAACTCATGACATTAAAAAGATAAGTGATAAGCATCTGTCTGATAATTCCAAAACGTACTATTGCCATTTTTATCAAAAGAGATTTAGATATCGATTATTGAGGTAAATATGCTGGGGAATACGAATTTGGAATCGTTTTTGTCGATATCATAACGATTTTATTCAGTAGTATCGATATTAAAATCGGTATTCGTTTCAAAACGTGATATAGCCTATATTATTACTTTCCATTGCCTATCTCAAAGAAGAACGTGCTATTTCTCATGTTAATTACATAGGTCATCAATAATAAACTATTTTCCAAAACGTGCCATTGCTCTTTGGTATTCTCACCACCACCAAATTAATTTTGATGTAACTTTGTTTCAATAAATTTGAATATTAAATTTGTAAATACGATTAATTCTAATTTTAAGTTCATAAATTGATCAATATCAATATCAATTCGATAAAAAAAAAAATTATTACTTACTTTATTTGATGATAACAAAAAGTGTTATAAAATTGGCTGTTACCGCCAAAAGTTCATTGGTAACGTATTATACTATTATGCATAAACTTATCACAGAAGGATACAACTGATGAAAAATAATTTATTTTTTAAATACTATTATGTAAAAGAAAAAGATTTCAAATATGAGTACATTAAAAAAACTCGCACTTGCTGCTCAAAGTAAATGTACTTTTTCATTATAACATATTATCTATGAATATAATAATGTTTGTCATCAACTTTTTGGCGTAATAAAATGTTATTTTCAGTAACTACTGTGCAATATAACATGACAAATATAATTATTATGACCATTCTATATCACATTAGCTAACATTGTAATATTCATATATTTATAATATTTTATTTTATTTAATTAAAGCAAAATGTATCAAGAAAAGTGGACTTTTCATTTCTGGAAATAAAAATCAGTTTACAATCACAACATTATTATATTATATAAATTGCTGACAAACAGTTTTTGATAATATAATTCATATATTTCCAGTTAGGATGCATAGTTATATCACGCCTGATCATGTATTAGGGTGTATCGAAAAATGCCTCCTTAAAAAAGAAATTATTGTATCTCCTACTCAGCAGGACCATAAAGTAGGACCTACTGAATACCACGATACATTTAGGCAATTTACAAAAGTTCATATGCTAAATTAAGATTTTTTTATGTAAGACTTTAAAAAGTTAGCAAAAAGTATTATGAAAGTAAACATATTTAAATCTCCTGAGCAAAAAATGTTTTAATACAATAAAGGGGAAAAAACAGTAAACTTTTCACCAAATTCTGATGAAAACCAATTCTTAATAGTATAGATAGAAAGATGTCGAAAATGTAATGCTGTTTTTTATAGTTTCAGAAAATACTTCAGAATTCTACAAAGATATTTTTAAGTCAAATGACATAATTTAAAATAATTTAAACATATAATGTACAGTCATATAGATACTTAATATGAAATATACCTACTGTTTTGTATTAAAGTTGATTTTATTGTTTTATTTTGTTATTATGGTTCAAGATATTAATTTGCTTGAGTCATTAAATAATAAGAAAAATATTCTTGGGTTTTACAATGTTTTTCTTTTATTACTATAAATTACCTATTGCTTATTCATTTGAACTCATTGATTTAGTAATAATACATTACTATTACAAAATTATAATAATAACATTTGTTTGTTCATATTTTTTTTATCTGGTTAATATTAATAGCAATAAATACACTTGTATTTTGCAAACAATTACATTGTCATAGTATTTATTAAATCTAGTATAGTATGTTTTAAATGACTCAAGTTGTAAGCCCCAACTATAGTTTGTTTTGACCCAAGAGGTTAATTTTAAACCCGGATTAATTATCTTATAACTTCAGAAATGTGAATTTTGACTCTTAAAATCTATTTCTTTTTTTAATGTAAATTGATAAAAAATCATAAATGTAAGCTCACGCATAGATTTATACCAAAAACAGTTATTCTGCTCTCCTGGAAAGTTTGAATTTGGGCAATAGTACTTTTTGGAATGTCACCCTTCAATTTGGAAAAGCAGTACCAACTCACTGAATCATAATTACCATATTCAATATATTAATTTATATTGATGATAATTATATTATTATAATAAAAGTCATACAGTAATATCCCTCGATTTTTAAAAACTTGAAAAATATTATTGGTTTGGTTATATTGTTTCTTAATTTTTAGCTGTTTAATTACTAATTAATACTCATAGTCTTTCTCTAGTATTCTCATTAATCGGCGAATAAAAAGGAATGAAATTCTGAATAGCAATGGTAATATCACACATAATACAATTAAAAGTCATGTCATTTTGTAAAAAAACAAATAATCGTGGATATGTTTTTGGGTTTAAACTTTGAAAATGTTTTACAACTGTCGGTGCATTTTTTTGTATCCAGATCAAAAATATATCCATGTTAAACATATTGTATGTAATGTATGTGTTATATTTTATGTATAGGCATAACTAATAGGTACTTAATGATTAATTTGGTTGTGTACAAATTGTTTGTAAGGTAGGTGTATATGTTTTTCATAAATTGTTTAATTTTCTATGTGCAAGTATGTAAATAGAATAATACCTATAATGTATTCCAATATATAATTCAAGTAAAATAGTAAATGTATACATTTTAAGCATCCACTTGTATAACGTGTTTTTTTTTACAATTGATACCTTTGTTTATCTTATATATAACTAATTAACACAATACTTAACAATCAGCATATAATTGAATAAGTACCAAAATCCAAGTAAAAAAGAAAACAATAAACCATATAATAATACTTGATCATTTTTTATCATTCTGGATATTAAATTAAATCAACCACTTTCTTAAAATATTATGTAAAATTATTCTTGTCTAAAATATAAGACAAGTTTTTAAAAAATACTATGTATTATAAATAAGTTTTAAATTGAATTATACATTTTGTGTAAAAAAATATACTTTATTTTTCTTAATATTTGTCTTGTATACATTTTTTCTTTTTTTTCTTTTATTACAATTTTGATTATTTATATTCTCATTGAAATATTTTTAAATTTTGTAATAGAATAAATATTTTAATATAGCTGTCATATTTTCTTTCTCTTATTGTAATTAACCACGTTTAGATTTATATTCTATTTCCTAACTGGTTAAAGTCAATTTAGATATTAATAATTGGATATTTTAAAATATCAAATACTAACAGTAATCTTCTCTCGTAGCCTTTACATAGTTTTGTATCTGGTACATATATAAAATATATATTTCTAAGTTGTAACACATAATATTAAAAAGTATGTATTTTATGTTTTATTTAAATTAGCTTATGGTTTGGGTTTTATTCAAATTACAACCCTTAGTACATTATATTATTGAATATTGTCATTATATTATAATTAACTTAAATATTATAAGACTAATATTTTGATTTGACAGTAAAATTTATCAAAATACAATATCATATTTGATTGTTAATAGTGTCTCACTTATTATTATTAACTGAAATGGTGGTTTGTATTATATTATTAACAAATATATAAAAATTTTCAATTTTTAATACGTTGTCTACATGTTTATAGATTTTTCATGTGTTCTTCATGACCATAATTATTATGACATAAGAAATCCTGAGATTGGTATGTATTTACCGTTACTTTCTAGTTACAAGCAATAAACAATTACTTTATCTGCTGTTGTGAGCTTCAGTTTAATTTGAAACCTGAAAAATAGAAAAATGTCTAGCTAAATCTGCTACATCTTTAATAAATTCATCACGCAACGCAGATTGTCTAAAAAAATGCATTACCTACTGTCTTAATTGTGCCAATACAGTTTCGTATCATCGGAATTTCACAAAAGACAAAACCAAATTTAAAGTATGGGCTGCGCAATGGATGAACTGAGCTTTTGGGTATTTTTCTAACATTATTGTGCTCACTCCTCGTAATTGACTACCTATCACAGCAGCGCCATCATATCCTTGGCTAACTAGCATCTCCATATCCAATCCAAGAGTCATTGTACATTACATGATGGTGGTGGCTAACGCAGAAGTTGTCACATCTTTCACATGCATGAACTCTAAGAAATCTCGTCTGATGAATATCCTATCCGTAGAAGAATCGTCTACATATCGAATCATAGGCGGAGATCGAGGGGGGGCTTACGGGGGCTTAGCATCCCCAAAATAATTAACTTGAAGTTAAAGCCCCTCTAAAAATATTAAACAAACAATACCGTAATTTTGTACAGTTTGCAGAATTTTGTTCATTATTTTATATTCTTATATCCAAAATTATTTAAGTGTACCTAGTACATTCCATACATACTATTTACCAATTTATTATTTACGTTAACATACCGAACAATTAAGTCACAATTCACTATAATGTTATATTGTGTTTATATACCTAATATTGTACATATTTTGTACCAATTGGCCATCAATATTGAATAACATATTATACCGTTCTATTTATAGATGGAAAAAATATAATTTCTTTTCTAATTTTTGTTATTTCTCAAGAAGCGATAACTATTATAGGACTATCGCTATAACTGTATTAAACCAATCGTTAAGTTTATCGTGATTGAATGAATCGTATTCGTACATTGTACATTGTAATGACTAATGAGTATCGTACATTCGTATTTGTACCGTTACCGTAACCGTATTGACCATTTTATACTAAATTATATTTTACTTATTGTTTTATGTTCTTGGAAATACGTTTATTTTGAGATTGTGATTTAGATTTTTAATAAATAATTTAGTTCAAATATGATTGAAATATTTAAATTTAAATCAAAAACAACTGAAGAGATATCGAAAGAGATACCGACAAATACTACTGATCAACTTGAAGTAGTTGTCGACGACTCGGATTTAGACTTGGGTGATTTAGAGTCTGGTAATAAAAGATCATAATAAAGGTAAGTTATGAATTTAGTATTCACCTAGGTATCTATAATAAATAATATATTTTATTATTATTAATTTTATTAAATAATATTTAAGGATTCCCGCAACACAATTTGCAACTCAAAAACGTGACTTCAATTCTAAATACTATGAGAATAACAATTGGCTTGAATACAGTATTAATAAGGATGCCATATTTTGTTATGCATGTCAAATATTTGGAAACAACCAAACTGAACTTACATTCACAACCTTTGGGTTTAAAAATTGGAAAAAGTGTGTTTTATCAATTATTATATAAGTACCTAAATGAAAATACTCCAAAAGAACGTAAATAGATTTTATAAAATATGACCGGAGACTGGAGAGCTAAAAATCAATTAACATTTCAAAATACTTAAAATAAAATCATTACAATTTCAGAATTATGACCTATAAATTATATCTTAAAATACATTTTTTATTCGAATTATTGTGAAAACTACATTCAATAATAATTTGGTATCTAAACAATCGTCTGAAAAAAATGTATTTAAATTATGCCCTTCTCTGCATATTGGTACCTAATTTTACTCAGTATTTTTTATTTGCTACCAAAATAAAAACTGTATTTTATTGAAGGTTTGACCTTTTTATTGGAGGTACCCTAGGTAAAATGTAAAAATAAAATTAAAAATATCTAAATTATTTGATACCTACAGTTATGTGGATCTAGAGGTTCAAAAAATGGGAAACAGTCAAAGCCTGATACCCATGCTAGTACAAAGACCCACTTGACTTGTATTGCAAAATGGTCAGGACATAATAATATAATTGTTAATGTTAAACTGGCACTGTTCATACTCAACTAACAACTCAGCATCAATTAGAAATTGCAGCTAATAGAGAGTATATGAACTGCCTTATGCCCTTATTGATATAACACCATATTTAGCAGCTCAAGGATTGGCCTTTAGAAGACTCAATGAAAACAAAACCTCATTAAATCAAAGTATCTTATAAAAAAATAAGAAAAAAGTATATTATCAATTTAGTATTGAACTGTTTGTTTTATTTTTAGGGAATTTTAAGGAAGCCTGTGTTTTAATCTCCAAGCACATACCCAAGTTTTCTGAAATATTTTCTAAAGACACAAATAACACTAGTCACCATATATAGGATGAAATTATTGACATATGTGCAAATAGTGTTAGAGATTTAACTATAGAAGAAGTTGGTACAGGAACATTCAGTATAATGTGTGATGAAGCACGGTAAGAAATGCATAATATAATAATGTAAAAATAAAATGATTTTATTTACCATTAAAATGTACAATATTGTATTTTTATTTTTTTATTTTGACATAATTTTAATTTTTTAGGTGCTATAAAGATGAGCAGATGTCTCTGTGCATTCGATATGTAAATGATTTGGATATTCAAGAAAGGTTTCTTGGATTTATTGACTATTCCGGGAAACAGGATGCTCAAGCTTTAAGTGGCCATATTTTATATTACCTGCGGACATATAAATTAAGTGAAAAAGCTCAAATAGTTTCACAGTCGTATGGTGCGAATGTGATGTCTGGAAAATTTAATGGAGTCCAATCAAAAATAAAGATCAAATTTCCACATGTCACTTTTACACACTGTATGGCTCATAGAATCAATTTAGTTGTTGAGGATATGTGTAAAATTGTTAAAGTAACATTATTTTAATGAAGTATTTGTGTTTAGTTTATCAATAGTTAATGAGTAAATTAAAATTAAAATTGCTTGTTTTTAGGAAACCTCAAGGTATATCAATACTAATTAGTGTATACATGTACATTTTTCTCACCCTTCAAAAATCGCCAATTAACTGATTTACAAAAAAGCTTGGGCTTGAAAATAAAAACTATCGGGCGTATTAGTAACACAAGAATACAAGATGGAACTGCAGGTATAAAAATTACGAAGCTTTGAAACAGTGTTTTTAAAATATTCTTAGTGTACTTAACAATGAAATTGAAAATGAAGCTGATAGAGATGTGAATGAAGCTGTAGGTACAATAAACATAGCTTTTTAATTATAAAATAATATTTCTAACTATTTATTTATAGCTAAAATCATTATTTTTATTCTTTAGGAATACTCGCAACAACTACAGGAAAATTTGTTGTAGGTAGTTTTATTCATCATGACCCATGTATTATCTTGTATTAATGTACTAAGCAATATTCTCCAAGATAAATGCCACATTAGGAATATCAGCTAAATTAATTAACAGTGTGATAAAATCATTTGAAGACTCTTGAACTTCTGAAAGTTTCTCTAGTATGTGGACATCAATACAAATTACAAATATTTGTCAAAGTACACGGTTTTTCAATTGATATACCATCTCAAGTGAAAGGTAATTTGTACTAAAATGTATTAATTTTAATCATTAACATCATAATTTAAATTTCTTATGTTTCCTTTTAACTAGAGCCGAAAAGGAAAAGACAACAACCTAGTCATTTGGTTCAGTTTTTAGTAAGCATGACTACTGGTGCAACATCTGAAGCAATGGATGTAAAAACTACTGTAGCTGAAGATTATTTTAGAATAAATATATATTTTAAAGTAATCTACTCTATTATTGAAAATTATAAAAAACGGTTTTCCAAAGAAAACTTGTCCCTTGCTGTTGGAGTTGATGAATTTATAAAACTAAACTATGATGGGAGTACTCAGTATATTGACCATTTTAAGGTATTTTTAATATTAATTGAAATATAATTATTTTATAATTATTCTGTAGGTACTAATTTATTAAATAAAATTATAAATAAAATAATTATTTTTTAGGATTTATCGGGTTAAAATATTTGCTAACAAAGTCTAAGGTCGGAAATGATGGTTGCAAAGAACTATTTAGTTGAATCTAAAAGAGGTGATATTGAAGATATCAAAAAGAATATTTCACCTCAAGTATTTCCTAGTTTATATAAAATAATACAAATTGCTTCAACACTTACCTATTAGCTCGGCTACGTGCGAAAGAAGTTTTTCTGCTATGAGGAAAATAAAAACATGTCTAAGAACATGTATACATAAAAAAAATTGAATGAACTTTGAACATTATATATTGAAAAAGATTAGACTAAAGCTTTAAGTACTGAAGCTATTTAAATACTTTTAACAACAAATGTAAAAAAATAATAAAATTAAGTTAAAAATGGTAATTGTATTTTATTAGCTATTCTTTTTCTTATGTTTGTAATTATTTAAGTTGTTATGATAACGAGTCAACGAGAACAATTTTTTATGAGTGATTTAATGTAAAAATTAGTTTGTTGGGGGTGTGGGGGTAATGCCCCCCACGGGTCCATTTGTCATCAAATATTTGAGCCCCCTCAATATTTCTGCCTATGTACAGAATGCAAAAAGCTAATTTATCATACCTTGATATATCTTGAGTTTCACTTGCAAGAATGGTAAAAACCCAGCATTTTTTATTCTATTGACAACATTTTTTTCGAAAAAAATTGCCATAGATCATTAATTTCGTTTTGTATTGTTGGTGGCGTAAACATTGATGGACTGTCGAATGTTAGGGATAAAATATGTTCCTATAGGAAAAGATCTCCCGATCTTGCACGAGATCTCGAAATTGCCCGAAAATTACCATCATTGTATGGGGGTTCTGACTTCAGTTAAACCTATTTTGCCAGTTTCATTTTTACTTATTAAAGCTATTTGTTGACGACCACATAGGATTACAGTTTCAACAACAGAGATCAATTTTTTTCTATTTTCTTCGGCTTTTTCTTTATTTTCTGAACTTATAGATGTTATATTAATATCAGTAGTTTCTCCTGTCATAACACTCATAACTGACACAATCCCTTGTGCTTTCTCAACTGAAAACATATGATAGTTTGCCTTACTGGCTTACTATGACTATCAAATATTTGTTTAGCTTTCTTAGAATTTATAAATGGGATGGCCACTAAAGGCCGTAGTTCTTGTCGTTCTTGACCCCCATGACCATCGTGATTACGACCAAATAAAACACACACTTTGCAAAAAGCACCTTTGGCAACATCTAAAAATACGAGCCAAGAATATTGTCCCATCCAATGGCGTTGGAAAGAATGACGTCGTTTATCACTCATAATAAAGGTGGCATCCACGGTTTTTGAAAAACTTTTATTTTTTTTTCGTTATCTGTCGGCTTATTCTCTAAATAGATTCCTACATCATTTACAAATAAAAGCTCTTGTTCTCCTCCAACGGAAGAAACTTTTTCAGAAGAACTTGAAACTTCAGGATCAGTTGAGTCAGAAACGAAAAGAGACGAGGGTTGATTAATTTGGGTGGTTTAATTTATACTTTCAGGTTTTTTCTTCTCAGCAGCGGTCATTTTTCATTCCCACTGCTATAGTAACTTTCTACTGGAAATTCATATATGTTAAGAAAATTAATAGGAACATTGTGTTTACTTATTTATATTATTTACAAGCCAAGATACAATGTCTTATTAAATGTATAATTTTGAACACAAACTAAACTTTATTGAAAAACTCACTATAAACATACTAAAAAAAATTATGTGAAGTATGCAATATATTAACATAAAGAATAATTATTATACTTATATGTTCGATAAATTAAAAATAAATTGTTCTTAACTGTATTCATACCACAAACATTTCTTTGTTAACATTTAAAATATACTCAATTCACAATCAGAAAAGGTAAGTACTAAAAAAAATAAATAAATAAAAGTATATAAATAAGGAAGCTTAATATAATATGTATACAATGTATAATAAATATTGAGAATCTTAAAAATACATGCTACTTTTTTAAGTCTGTACTAAAATATCTAGTAGATAATAATAATTTAACCCTATTAGGTTAAGGTTATAATAACCGAGCCTAGTTAATAATTGCTTAATTAAATAATAAAATAATTTATGTGCCATGATGCGGCTAGTGGCTGACCTCAATCACGTTAGATTGCTGAAGCTACAATGGGGCTGGATAGGTGACCATCCATGTTTTAGCGACAAAACATGCCACATAACACAATATTATGTGTTACAAGTTACAACATTATTTGCTCAAAAATAACTCCCTACCATACCACCTCATACCCATTTGGCTATGTTGTTGTAGGTTCGCCTCAATAAGAAAAAAAAATGATGATTTATAAAATTTTAAGTTTTTATTTCTGTGTAACTTCTATAAATAGGTAGCTATTTAAATAATAATAAAAAAACACCTTAAATTACATATTTTTATTTTATATTATTTAAGGTTGGTATCTATATTTTTTAACGAATTTTGTAGAACAAGTGATATTGGAAAGTTTAAACATAATATACAGTATTGTGAAGAAATAATCTTTTTTGAACACGGTACTAAAATCTCTAAGATTAAAAAAAGACAAAAGGCAAAAACTCCAACAATACAAAAAATTTAAATATCCTAAAATTTAGGATGAAATATACTAACTAATATAATATATTACTATATAGATATAATTTCACAAATAATCTTATATCAACAGAATATATTTGCTTATGTTAACGTATATTTGCATAAATTAACATAATTTCTATTTCACTGTTGTATTTAAAAACACTAACATAATTTGGATAGTAATTAATCCTTGATGATATACTCTATATACTCCTACCCATTTTTTTTTGCTCCCCAAAAGTTGTGTTCTTAACTTTTTCTCTGTTACCCTTGCTTAGCTCCCAACTTAACTGTAAATAATAATTAAAATTCCTTATAAATTAATTATGTACCCAGGTATTTAAAATATACATTGATTGTTTTTGAAAACAAATTCCACATAGTATTGGGAAATTATGGTTTCCAGAATATTACAGAAACATTTAAAAATGTTCTAATGACCATTATACTTTGGAAATGGTTATTAAATATTTCTAAAATATTATAATTTGCTAAATGCCATTAGGAATCCTGTATAATCTAATCTTGGTATCTTATTGTATTCAGTTTATCTTTTTGTACCATTATTGTTTATTTTAATTAATTGAGTTATGTCTCTTGTCTGAATTTAATTGAGCGGTTGCCTGCTTGTTCAAGTGTATTGCATAATAACTACTAATATTGTACTTTTATTATTCTGTAAATTAAAAAAACATTTATTACTAATAAGGAAGAAATTCTAGTATTATTTATATAGGTACATAAAAGTAAAAAAAAATATAGTATAGCAACTTATAGAGATAAGAAAAGTTTAACGAATGGCTGGAATTCGATAAAACCATATTATATTCATTGGGAACAAAAAAAAGTCACTTCATAACTCTTATGTACCTACTAATAATATCTAATAATAAGGCTGAAATTAAATAATATTTGTACAACTCATTAATTGTTTTGCACACACTATCAAATATTAATGAATGACATACTATAATAAAATACATTTTAAACATTTTTACTAAATGTTGTAAACAAGTTGTGTCCTTCATTTTCCATTAGAGATAAATTTAAATTTTGAAAAGGCTTTTATTGAATCTTTTGAAGATCTATTTGATGATCAATTGGATTTTAAAGGTCAATTTTATTTTAAGTACCTTAAATGCTCTCATGCAAGAATCTAGGAAAATCTCAGTTTAGGATATCAATATTGTGCAAATGAAGTGTTTTTAAATTATGTGTGGTATCAAATAATGGATAGCTTAATAATTCAATCTCTATATAACCTACCTACATAGAATAAAATAACCAAAAGGTAACCTAACATATAGCCTAAATCCAGAGATCAAATAGTAGGTAGTTATTAATACTTGTTGAGACACAATGAAAATTAAAATTATCTATTCAATATAATCGTAAGTACAAAAACTTTGTTGATACAGTGACAAAAATATAGACAAAGTCTAATAATTTACTTTATATTATACCTATTCAGGGTGATCCATAGTGGGTAAACTAATTATTTCAAAAAGTATTAACTTTTTTTGAATTTTTTAGATTTATTCTTTTCTAAAACTGTATATTTTAGTTTTGCAAGGTACAGTTCCTTAAAGTTTGGTGACTTAAGGAGGTGTTTACTGTTTAGTGGGTAGTGCTACAAATATCCAGCTATCCAAATAACCAGTTTTCTACTTATCATTTGTCGTAATTTGGTATGTCTAATTCATGGTCTTAGAAGATAAGGTCGGGACTCTTTGCTTATAATCGTGTCCGCAATCAGAGGACATTTTAGTACTAATTTAACTACAAAATTATACGAGTATAAGGCAGTAAAGAATAAATATAACTGTATCTATAATAACATTGATAATAATAATAATAATTCACAGATTTATGACACGGCCGACCTGATACAAAGTTCAGGCGACGACTCCAAACAGCGTTGCGAATACGCGATCGTATGGTGACAGCTGCGGCGTCGGGCAATATGATACTCAAAATAATATCCAAATAAACAAATAGCCGTTGACGTACTTACAAACAGACCGGGTTGACGTATTAGAATTTACAAACAATATGAACATCAAGGCCAAATTCGTCGCGACGTCGCGGTCCGTCGTGCGTATGGTAATGATGTAATCGTACTGCTAATTAAGGCCGAGAGAGGGTCGGTGGACGGTGCAACGAATAACGATGTACGTACAACGTACGCTATATATATATTATTTTCGGCGGACGACCACAGATAAGTCATTATATAAAATTATAAACATTATAATATTGCGTAAACAATAAGGAAAAAACATTTTTAAATTATGCAGTTTTAGTAAAGCATAAATCTAAATTTTTTTTTAAAAAAAAATTCAAAAAAGTTCATACTTTTTGAGATAATTAGTGTACCCACTTAAATGGATTACCCTGTACATATTTAATTTGAAAGTTAAGTATTTTTTAGCAAAATCCAATTATTATCAATAATATTTTTAGGTTTTTGCACATATAGGTATATAATTTAAAATCATCAATTTTTGATTACCTATACCTATTATAATGTTTAAGTCAATATCATATAATATATAGAATATAGATATGTGGGTACCTACTTTCCTACCTACCAAATTCAAAATTATTTTCCTTTGTTTTAAATATGTAAATGTGTCAAATTTTCTATTGACATGATTGTTGATCATTTAAAATTGATTGATGTCATATTTTTCTTACGGATACTTACCTTAACTAATTAATTATTCAATATTAATAAACTAACTGTTCACTGGCAAAAATAGGAACATCGTTCTTCTCAGGATCTAAAGAGTATCCTACAATAAAATAGAACATACATTACTTATAACATATAATGAGTATATTATCAGAGTTAAATAAATACAGTTTTAATCGATTCAAAGATAAAAACTGCAGAAAGAAAAAGTATGATTTGAAAAAAGTAAAAAAGTCCAAAAATAAATAAAAGCCATTCCTATGATTATTGTGTGTGTAAAACATGTGAGTACCACATTACTGAGTGGGTCACTGTAATGTATTTGTTAAATTTGAGTAAAATAATAAATTATTATCTGTTATATAATAAAAACAATGAAAACAATTCTAACTTCTAAGGTGAAACGATCTATAAGTCTTTATTTTTAGCAACATTTTATTATTTATTTTTATTGATATTAGTAATTTAAATATTTTATGTTAGCATTACTCGGTGAGACTAATTTTTGACATATACATATTGCAGACATTATAATATAATACTAAAAGTTGTTATTACTTAACTCATTAGCTAAATAAACTATTAAAGTACCTAAATAACAAACGACGTTGACATCGGCACATGCCTACTAACATATGGATAAATGTCAATTGATCGAAAACAATTGATAGCTCGAAAATTACTCGAAAACTTTTGATCGAAAAACAATTGCTCACCAACAACAATTTATTGATCGAAGAACATTTGTTCGCAAAAACCAAATTGGTTGTTCAATAACGCAATCACCCGAAAAAGTATTAAAATCATAGACTTTTTAATAATAGAACAGCCCACTTCATGTTTCCACCGAGTCACAACGATAATAATTTTATATAGTACGTAGACGCGGTGCATGGCAAATCCGAAATTATTATTGTTTCATTATTATAGTGTACCTATTTCAAACACTTTTGACACGTTTTGAGTTTTGCCATCATGAGTTTGGTGTATGTAACCAGTGTAAAAATAAGAGATTGTTAGAACACAAAGGGTTTTTACATAAACAAGAAAATATAACCTGGGGGACGAAGTGGACGAGTGGATAACTCGTCGGTTCCAATGGTCAACGTTGCCGGTTCGAACCTCGGTCACGGGCGGCACTTCTCTCCGGGCAGTCAAGGTGTCCAGAGAGAGTGGCCGCCATCCCTCACCCGGACATGGCAGAAATCTACGGGTGCCCACTAGAGATTCTGCCAAAACAAAAGTTTTGGAAGGTTAAAAACCTACCATACCAAACCCTACCACTACCACAATTACCCTACAAACAAACAGCTAAGGGCCATAGTTGCCGGGCTTAAGAACAAAAAAAAAATATAACCCAACCAAGATAGGGCTAAGAGAATTAAAAAATATACGCACTGATTAAAATTTTCTATTCAATTTAGATTATCCACGTGGAAAAGCCTAAATTTTTCAACTGCAAATTTAATTTTTAATTATATGAACCATTGAACCTAGGTGTCATGGTATAAAAAGCATACAATTAATCTCAATACTTTGAAAAGATTATGACATAGGTACAGCAAATAATAAATATATATGTAATACGCCATTTTATTAGTAATATAATATTACAAATTTTTCTGTTCAGAATTTAGAGTTATATGGTTTTTATTGATCAAGGCTGGGATTTAAAATACAACAGATTATTTTTTTTTTTGAGACTTCTGATTATTATTTTTGGTCTGCAATGTCCATGATGGGGGAAATGTTGTTTTTATTTTGAGTATTTTTTAATATTTTGGACAAAATGTATATGATTGAATATTTTAAATAAAATTAATGTTATTACTTATTTTGACTATAAAAATGTGACAAATGCATGTTTTATGGTATATTTTTCTACTAGACGCTTTTATTGATGATGACGCATTGTATTTTGCTGATATTTTCAGTTCGATAAAATTAGGGCTTTTTTCTTTAGAAAAAAATACTGCAAATCAATAAAATTCTAGGACTTTTATGAAAATGGAAATATAAAAATGATTTGGCTTAAATAAAAAGCATCTTCGGCTTTATAACTCAATCTATTTAAAGATTAGAATATGCTTCGCTTTCATTCAATGAAAGTTTGGACATTGTTAAAAAATTAAATCCAAACTTGATCAAAACAAAGGAACAGTTTCTGAAAAATTCAAAAAAATTTAATAAAACTGAAATCTATGACGCTTAATATTTTAAATAGCACTACTGTGTATGAAGATTTCCTGAATCTCACTCCAGGTGAAGTTACAAAATTTAAACAGGTGAAAATTATATCAAGTCATGTCGATTGGTATTTTAGTAAACATAATAGTCATGAAAATTGATTCTAGTAATAAATTTGATAAAAGCGTTAAAAGTTAGGAATAATAATTTATTCATTTTAAAACAAATCAATGTTTTTTGTCTCCATATTTTATATTTTTAGGGGTATATAATATTAATGCATATTTTCATTCATATTTTAAATTTTTTATTGCATATAAATCCTAGCCCCTCTGAAGATAAATTCAAATACAGTATATGTAAATGTATAATTCATAATAAGTTAAGTATTATTTAACAATGATCTTCCCTACATTTATTAATTTAACTTTAGGACATTATGAATGCATTTGTTTCACCCGTCTTACAAACGTAACCATAGGTTTAACTTATTCAATATTCGTTCAGCAGAACCAATTTTGCTATTTGAAATTTAAAAGAAAACTGACCTACTATCAAGCTCACAGGTAAGAACATTGTTTGTGCTTGCCTAAGCATCAGATTTTTTTCGATATTTTAGTTTTTCAGTCAGATATTTACTTAAAAAATATTTAAGTCCGGATGTTTTATCTGACTTATTGGCCTTGGACTTGTAGACCAACTATCATTTTAATTATTGAATATATGATAGGAATATATACTAGAATATATTCTATGTATAATGGGATATATTATTTTATAATTAATAGGTACATTTGATCATATTTTACCTGATAATTGGTCAGTAAATTGTCTTAAAACCCACAATGGTATAACATCAGCAGCTGGATTTTCAAGATCTTCAACCTTTATTTGTAATATAGTTTCTAAAATTAAAAAACATAAGATTAGCTAAATTTGTAATAGTCTTACACTTTGAAATATCCGAATTATTATTGTTATTTTGACTACATACCAAATAACTACCTACCTAAGGTTAACAATTAATATAGTATTGTTATATTATTATACTACAGGTACCTATATTAAATGGATAATTTTCAGTTGCGGCTCCAGGGGGGACAATTGGGCATCTCTCAAGCCCGTATATCTAAAAATTGTATCCTGTGAAAGTTGAAACACTTAAAAAGAAAATCTCAAAAAAAAACCTTTTATAATATCGAAAGTTTTCTGAAAATTATGACTTAGGCCCCCTCTGTAATGTCTCTGGAGCCGCCCCTGATACTTTAAAACCTATTATCAGACAATTATACTATGATAGGTGCTCTAATTATATGTAGAAGATGCTGCATTTATGAAGATTAGTTTAGCTAATTAACAAACAAATATAAATAATAATAATAAATTAAAATTATTTATACATCATACCAATTGGATGTTTGTAATTAATTCTCAAATTAATTGATGTAGTATTGATGATCAGAAAAATGTTAAGTAGGTACCTATAGAAAGATTTTAATTAAACACATACTCTGATTAAACATGTGATACGCTATATGTATGAGTGTACAGCAGTAATACTTCTGGCAGGACACCAACTTAATTGTGTGCCCCAATAACTCCTAGGTCTTACGCTTGAACAACAGAAGTCGGGATCGCTGGGCAAATACTGTTGAGCTATGTAGCGCGTGTCGTGTAAAATGTGTATTTGAGAATAAGTGTCTTCAGATGTGTGTGTGTTTACCATTAAAAGGTTAAAACTAATGAAAAGGTAACTCAACAGAATAATAACGGCAACAATGAACAATTTGGCTTTTTATGAGATGCTGTATAATTAACAATTCAATAATAATTAATAGATACAAAAAATAGAAATAAATAACAGCAACACAATTGTATAATTTATACCTAAAAATAATAATAAAAGAGCATTATTGATTTGCGCACATACCAATAATTTAAAACAATGGATTTAAATACCTATAAATGGAAGTGATCTGTGCCCACAATTTAATGATATAAACATTTTGTTTAGAAAAAATAATATGTTAAAGTTTGGGACGCAGTGGCGGCTCGTCAAGGGAGTCTTTGAGACGGCGACTCCCCACAAAAATAAAAAGTAGGAAGGCAATATAAAAGTTTGAAAAAAATTGTATTATAATTTAATATTTTTATGTTATATCCATTTTGAAAATAATTATTATGGTTTTCGATATTAATATTGATAATATTTTGTATTCTATTTTTACATTAATAATGAGTGTCATTCAATAACAATACAATATATAAAATATATCGATAACGACGACGGTCGCTAGTTCGAGAGTCTGCCGTCCGAAAGACTCAATTATGTATACAAATTTCATATGCATGACAAGGCGGAAAACGGGGATAGATTGTATAAATGTTATTATACATTGAGACTAGACTCATTCAAAGTTTTTGCCGTTCGCATTGCGGTCGTCAAGTATTTTTCTGTTAACAAGAAAACTGCAACGTGTCGTGCGTCCGTATTAAACTATTAAATTTAGCTATTTGAAATTGTATAGCAGCGTGTAGTAATTAAATTAAGTTTTTTTTATATTATTTGTATTCATTTTTTTTTTTTATTACATTTTTAGTCTTCCCAATGAATTTACTTTGCGAGCCGCCACTGATGGGACAAACCGACGATGACGCAACAACGTAAACGGTACAAGACAAAAATCGGGGCAACCGTCATTTGAGGCATTCGCGTAGCTAGTTCGGTGGGGTGCGATACTCGCCGTGTACATAATATATAATTTACAAGGCTCATTCAAATATTCAATAATAACTAAATCAAAAGTAAAACAATACAATAAAGTGATTTTAATATGTGTGTGGGGCCCAGCTATTCCTCCGGCAACTCACATAACCTAGAGACTACAGAATAGTAAAATATATAATATTTAAGCATACCGAACCATTATTTTAGATTTTAGAAGTTACAATTTTTTTTATATAGGTACCACATAGAATTTTAAGAATATTACATAGTATTACATTAACAACTTTTAAAGTTCTTAAACGTAGGTATTTGCTACTAAATCGAAATAACAGACTCATTAAGGTCCCTACCGGTGTTGGGAATAGATAACTAAATTTTTATCTAGGTAAAGATAAAGATACAGAATAAATATTTTATCTAGATAAAGATAGAGATAAATAAATTTAATTCTTATCTAGATAAAGATGATTAAAAAACCATTTTATCTAGATTAAATTAAGATAAATTGTATAATATGAAAATTTATATTTTTTCGCAATAGATGTTTAACTGTTCTATTTTCATAACCAACACAGCCACAGAATTCAATGTCCTTTTAATAGAGCAGAGAGATCTGGATGAATAATAAATATAAAATAGTTATTAATATTAATTGTTGTACATAACCGTAGAATAATAAATAACAGCTAGTAATAATCATAGACGGTACAACTGGCCTTTAGAATTACACGATGGGTAGGGGGAAAGAGTGCTGTCATCTGTCACCAATCAATATAACCGTAACGCAAATGTGTCATTTTTAAGGAGTTGTGTTAAGGCAATTATTTCGTTCCTACGATTACTGATTGTCTTTGTGTGTGTAGTAAAAGGTCATTAGTGTGTGTATACTCCCCTACCATCAATTTACAATACATTGTTATTTCTTATCTGATTTATGGTCGCACGCACGCACACGCACAAGTCATTCAATGTGTAGATCGGTATAATATACTGTTATGACTGTTCTCCAATATTATCCGTCTTCGTCTGCCATCTAATATGTATACACATATCGTACCTTGAAAATAATTTCTTGGCAACATTCCTGATATTTTGCTGGCTGATACAAAATCAACAAAACATCGTTACGATAGATTTGACTAGTATAAATAATTTTTGTAACTAGAAAATTATTTTCCCCTATCGCGATCACTACCCATTAGCTACGCTACCTAGAAGCATCTACGTGCGCATCTTTCACATCTTTCACATTCCAGTATTGATTATCATATCGTTGTACGCTTTTAAGACGTATAGTGAAATATGTCATCCTTATCTTCTAACAACGAATCCGTTATGGTGCAGTCAACGGAAGCCGAAGAGATAATGAGAATATTTGAAGAATTGAGATCGATAACGTTCCACATTCCAACGACATTTTCGACACCGGTCGGAACATGGCCGGTGTTGAAAAGATACAAGTCCACGCCGAATATGACCACGATTCGTCACCAACCGCCGGCAGTAGGAGACTCCGAAATATATCGGTGTTTGTCCGTCCCTGCTGAGCTAGACGAGATGACCGCTCCAGAGGACGCAGAAGCCAACGCGTCGCTGATGGATAACGGTGCTGCGAGTTTGATGGAAACTCCGAAGGGAATGAACACGTCATCGTGTACGTCCGTTGAGTCAGCGCCCGAAGTACCGACATTAATGCCCAAAGTCCGGCGGGAAAAAAATGCATTTGGTGACTGTTCAACGCAGAGTCGATGGTATTCAGCTCCAAATGTACACATCACTTTTGAACAGGTGGACCACCCGAAACGGGAAACTGGACGCAATGACGGCGACGTGCAGGTGTTTGTCAGCGCAGACCCGATAAAACCTAAACGGCGTGGCTTAATATGGAGCCGGACGAAGAAATTCGTCCGGCGCATGTTTTGCTGCGCCGTTTAGAGGGTGACCACAACCCCTTGCTTGCCGAATGAAGTCGTTGTTTAGTATCGGAATTATTATAAAACAATTTTCGTTCACTAACTCCATTTACATAAATAAACTGTCTTTGTTATGCTACTTGTCTAGTTGGGTTTTAATTGAAATGCTATTATATTATAATCAAACGCATCAACATTCAACAAGGAAAGTCCAAAGAAAAGTTTAATTTGTTTAAGTACAATAAGTACATAGTAAATAAACGTGTGGTGTACGGCATGCAATCCGGACAAAGCCCTCTAAGAGATGGCATGCAATTCGGACATTTTTATTTTTGGCATGCAATTCGGATGCAGCCATCGTACAACATCGCCAAAACCCAAAACACCTGTGTGCCACTTTTAATAGATTAACCGTGCCTGTGTGATTCATTCCAGATGGCAGATATTAAATTTAGAATAATTATATTGTTACTAAGTAGGTACTTAATAAGTATCCGTGTAAGCTCGAAAATTAAATTTTACAAAATCCTCAATTGTGCAATGGGAGAAATACCAGAATGGGGAAGTAAGTCGATTTGAATATACGTGAAGAAAATTGGGTTGAAAGATCAACCAATTTTTTAATATTTTATTTATTTTAATATTATTATATATTTATTATAATATTAGATTGGTGCTTATGCTCTACACATTTTTGCGCAAATAGTATGTCATCTTTGCCACCTTTGGCACTCATGTCATATAATCACACAATTCTAGCTGCACTCGATTTATAATGCAATAAATATAATGCATAATATTATATTCCTGCTGCAGTTGCAGTAGATCTGGGACGCTTGTGCGTGGTGTATACCGAGGCTGATTACGGTCGATAAAAACTGGTTAAGAATTTGAAATCGGACACTACGTTGGATTTCCTCGACCGCCGAGACGATATACACGATCATAATATATAATAAATAATATTATTATTATAATTATCGTAATAAAACGTTCGGTTGATTTTCATGTCGTCCGACGACGGTCAATCGATTTTTATTCACCGCCCGGCGCGTCTCGAAGATCCGACCAAATTCCATAGATTACTCTCGTCCGACCTCGCACATAGGACCGCTCTCGACGACGACAACATATAATAATATTATTTTATACGGTACCGAAAAAAAAAATAATAATAATATGCCGTCTATTTCGTTTTCATCTGAATTTTCGATCGTATAATAATAACAATAATATTGAATATGATATTATCAATTATGTATAGTCTGCTGCTGTTGCTGATTATGCTGCTGAACGTATGCTATAGTAACGTACGCCCGGAACGAGTCTCACCGCATTTTACGATACATGCGATATGTATACTATTATTATTATTATTATGGACATTACATATAATTTCGGAAAAATTATCGTCCTCCGTTTTCGAAACTCAACAATCACGCTTTATAATGAGAGTCAGTGGTCATACTGTACACGTACGTACTATATCAACTATGTGTGTGCGCGCGTGTATATTATATTATATTTGGCAGAATACTATATTGGAAAGCGACCGTATACCATGAATACGGCGTAGGTATAGATGAGGTATATGTATATTATTCTAGGTGTATGAAATTGGTACCTATTTATGATATTTATTAATAGTACTTAGATAATAATACTGAAATAAACACAAATAAACGATAAACAAATCATTATTGTTAAATTAGCCGATAGTAATATTTTTATACCATTAGCAATATTTTAATATTAAATAATAAATAATAACGAATAAAAATTTTAAAAATTCAATTGTAATTAAAATCAAAAATTATGTCCTTGAATAATTTATCTACATATCTAGATACGTAAATTGTTTATCTAAGATAATTTCTTAAGATAGTTGTCAACAGTTTATTTATATTTATCTAGACATGATAAAGATAATTTATTATTATTTTTTTATTAAATTTTTAATAAAAACACTGCTCCCTATTCTCAGCGGCGGTGGTGGTGAAGGTTAGGTTAGTTAGGTTGCTGCAAAATTAAGCAGGACACAATTTTACTTCCACCGCTGAAGCTACAGTATGTATGACTTTCCAGCTAATCGTTAGTAATTTTGGTTAACAATAATTACAAAATATGGTCTAACCTGAAAGTCCAGATGTCTGAGTATTTTGAGTATATGTAGTGTTAACGGAATTTTGAACAATTGGTTTAACCAAAATATATGTTTTTGCTGGGATAAAATACACTTTGGAGTTACTACTTGCAACTGCAGACCAATCCACTTCATAATCAAAATAAGTAATTAATTTTTGGTAAACCAATGATTAGGTGTACCTATAAATTATTATTTTACCAGATTTTTGCAAAGATTGGGATTGTTGACTACGCTTTTTGTTTCTTTTTCTTCTTTTTTTTTCGTCAAAAATAACAGGCACGGCGGATCGCTTCAATACTCTCCTGTTGCTGTGTTGGACGAGGCAATCTTTTTCAAAATGGGAAGAGCACAACATTCTATTATGTTCAATTTCTTTTTCCACAAAGCTGCAGTTTTTAAGCCAAACTGCTCGCCTGATGGGGTCTTTTGGGAATCTGACAACAGATAAATATATTATATTGATAGGCGGGTTTAACCATTTTCCGCTAAAGTGACCCTCAACCGTTATCACCAATTTCCACTAAAAAATTAAATATTATTTTTATATGGCGGAAATCGGAATATAATTTTGGTGGAATACAGAAATGGAAATAACAGGCTATGGTCACTTTGGCGGAAAATGAACACCCAGGTGTCTATTGACATAAAAAAATAAGTGAATACCCATGTATAATAGAGAACGATATTATAACAACAATATATAACGCTTACTTGTGCAAAGAAATGTTATATCCTTTTTTTTTTGACTTCAAACACATCACGCAGGAGTTGAAGTTGGGCTTCTTGGAGTTCGTCAGTGTAGTGGCATGAATAGCATTTGAGCAGTTCATAGCAAAAAAAATTTCAACGTAAATGAATAGAAAAAATTTTAATTCCCTCGGATCAGTATTTTTTGAAAAAAAATTTAATTAAGTATTGGTAGGTGGTTTGAGTGAACATCAGTCGCTATACCTATACTGGTATACCTATGCTACTCACAGCTCACAACTTACGACTGTTACTGTAAAGACAAAATCAATGCGGGCAGCCGACGGGTAGGTAGGTATACTCGTACTAGACGACTACAACTGCCGAACGGTCGCCAAAAGTTGATCTTCTGATAATAATTTTGAGTAGGGTAACAACGCTTGGTTTTTGAGGGTGGTAGTGAATGCGTCGGCGCACCCTGCCACAGGTAGCTTATATTATTATTATTATTATTATTGACCCGACCCCACGACAGCTAACTCTATAAATTGACAAACCGCGATAATAATATTCTGTAATACTCGTGTAGTCTTATCCGTCTGCAGTGTGCTTCTTATTTTAAGCATTTATACTACTATTATTATTTTGATTATTGTCATCATCATCTTTATGACAAAAATTAAATAAATATAGAAATGGGAATGTTCCACTATTGTAATACTTCAATTATATGAATTAAATTAACACAATTGTAATTTTGATATCAATAATTATTGTATATTTAGTTTAAATTAGATCTTTACATAATAAAGTTAAATTTCACCTATTTCACTGAATTTTTTTCTACAGTCCTGAACCCTGGAGAATTATTTTTAGATTATTTTCCCCAGTGGGTGAACGCTAAGCGTCGTGTTTACATTCACCTCCCACGTCCTTGGCCTCGTTTAGACGTCGAATCCCGTACTTTTAGTATAGCAACTATAGCTGCGTAATTTCTATTTCACCCGGACACAGCTGAGGGTTGCTGCAGGTTTCACTTACCCCCACCAATTCTAGTAGGACGTTTTCTATCCTATATCGATTTGAAGACAGTGAGCTCTTGTTTTCATTTCCTTAATCAATAACTGGTACAGCCACAGTAACAAGTGTTACGTTAAATAATTGTATAATACAACCTATATAAGTACTTATTATATTATTACTTAAACGTATTTTATTGCAGTTTCACAGAGGTATAAAAAAGATACAATCAAATAAATTAAAAGATAAATCTTAATTATTCAATTATTATGTAGGTATTGGTTGTTTCTGTGAACAGTACAATAAAGATGTTATTATACTATCATCATATTCCCAGTAAAAAGTGTGGTTTATTTTAGAGATACACTTAAAATTAAATAAAATTTGTTAAAAAATGGCTTTACTTAAAAATTTCTGTTTTTCGATTTTGAAAAATATGAGAAATATGATACTTTTGATCACCTCAAGTACCATCTAATAATACCAATTAATAATAAATAACCATGTTGATAATGCGTATACTATTATCGTGAATGTTATTATTCTTATTTATGACAACTTTGTTGTGGCTGCACTATGTTAAATATAATAACATAAAAAATAGGTTGAAAGGTGATAACTGGTAAAAGACAATAGTAAAGAAGAAAATGAGCAAGTTTTGAATGTATTGAGGGAGAATTGAGGTAAGAAACACAAGTATATTGAATTGATATGATTTGAAAGTATGGTCATAAATTATAGGATATAATTTGTTTACCTGACTTTAACAACAATGGAATGGGTGCAAAGGGTGTTAAGGAAACAATAGCTCTCCAGTGAACGCCGCCTGTCTTCCCTTCGATCGGGTACCTATTATCTACAATCAAGTGTATGTTTATTGTGTGTACAGGCCGGTATACTGGTCCACCAGGAAATCGGCAGTTTTTCCGGTACACCCCATGATCAATTAGCATATGAGCCCCACTCCAATTTCTAGTTATATCATTAGAATATATTTTCTTCTTTCTGAACCCAACTGTGGGCGTATACAATTAAATAAATAAATAATATAATATGTATTAGAGTGTATCTATTTTATGTGTGCGTATTACATTTTTATACTATACAAATTAAATGTTTTGTAATTATTGTGCCTAGGTATTAGGAAGATAAATTTGTGTAAATAATTGTTTTGTTATCGTTTATGATATTATTAATTATAGAGCCATAGAAGTGACTATGAAATCACATAGATTTTCTTTCGGAAGAAACTTCTTTCTGCATCGGTGGTTGTAATTGGTTAGGTTTGGATTAGGAAATAAATGTAGCTTATAATAATATGTAACATATTATTACTTGACATCAACGCTTTACATAAATCAAACAAAATTTTTTACTTTTTCGTACTTGTTATACGAACTGTTGAACCTTTGAATTTGTGCTATTAGTTTTCTTATTCACTGATTTTGAATATTATGTATCTAGTTTTAGATATTATGTCAGAACTTAGGATATTATATCGCTTATCAGCACATATTTACACTTTATACATTTTGCAGAAAATAATGTCACTCTGTCACACGCGTGTCATAGGTCCGCCATCTCTGGTCTAGAATCTAAAATATCAACTAATATTAAAATATCCGGTGTTTGTTAAATAAAATTATAGCCCACATTCATCATCTATTATAATGAGCATTATTTGAATATAAAGTTCATTTTTATAACTTATTTTATCATTCAACGCGTTACATAATGCTGGGGGCCACAATTTCAGTTTCCATGGACGTTTCCACTATGCTTATAACTTTATCGTATAATTTATTTATCGTAAGAAAATATTGAAGTACGAATAGTACTATATTAAAAATAACATGGTTATAAATTTAGCTGTCCACACGATCACGATAAAATTTTATACTATAACTACGATCCAATAATCGTATGACGTCTCGAAAGTTGTAGGAGACTTTTTCAACTTCTGTAAGATGACAATATATCGTACGACCAAAATATTTCAATCAAAATGTACAAAAATAAACTATAAAAATTAAAAACATAGTTGTCCTGAAGAAAGTAAAGATTTTTGTATAGAAATTATTACATTTAATTTAAAAAAATAAAATAATATACATGAACCTAAAATTAATAAATGATACAGGAAAATTAAACACTTTTTTTCAAAATTTAATAATGGCTGAATGGCTGTCATCGATTAAATTTTAAACTTAGAGCCAAGTATTAGGAGTAAAATTGACTTGAAAAAATTCAATTAATCCAAATAATGTGCTAAAAATTGGTATTACCATTAATGAAATACATTTTTTACTGCTCAAGCAGACACCGTAAGTGTTAAAAATTTGAACATTTTACAAAATATGTATTTCTGTACCTCTTAGGTTCCCACAAAGAGCATTTCAATACAAGTTTATCTTCCTGAATTATTTAGTGTTACCTTAAATCGTGATCACACTGTGTATAGTGTAGAGTTCTAGTTTCGAGATTGGACAGGTGGGAGACGTAATAATGCAAACCACCCACCCACCATGTGAGAATCGATTTGTATACGAAACTTGGCCCACCACCCTAGTACCGAAGTATAAATATAATAATATTATACTTTCTCTCTCAAACAAGGACGTTGCCACCACCATATTCTCCCCGGTCTCGCGTTTGCGCTCTCACTTTTTTATTTGTCTTAGCCTCGCAGCAGCCACGAGAAGCGCATGCGTGAATGTGCTGGCGCCCGGCAGCGTAACACCAGCCACCGACCGAATGCAGCAACAATTGTCCGTCCGTGACTTGTGTAACCACAACGGCCGCTATATTAGAGCACATACCCACCCCCATCATATCAACATCTATAAACCTTATCCGCCCGCCGTAGGTGTAGTAGGTACTTACGTTTCATTGTATTAATGAGTTTTAATCGATAAAATAAATGTTTATGGCATTATGCCTCTTAAAGGGGTCTAGTTCCTTTCACCTCTATCCTTTCTATACTTTGTGGTATTATTTTAGTATTTATAATATATAAATACACTAATATATAGCTATATTGCTATATTCAAATATTACCCAAGAAAAATATTTTTAAATTGCAACAAAATAACAAAAATCTCTATTATTTGTTTAATTATGGCTAGTACCAAAATTTGTCCAAATTTGAACAATATGTCTTAAAAAAAGAAGTGTGCTTACATGTCTTAAATTTGTTGGTTACAGTATAAAATATTTATGAGAATCCTTGTTTTAAATATGCAATCCTGTTAGCTATACAAATTTAACATTTTATAATTTTTTAACTTCAAAACTATTATAAACTGTGATTACTTACTAGTGTTGGTATATTACACCTATTCAACTACCTACCTATTTTATTCATGTCTGGGTGAACCCTTTCTTTATTTTTTCAATTTATTTCCATTGTGTTTCTATATTTTAACCAGTGAATTAATAATATGTACCTATAATTTATATTCTGGGTGGAGGGATGAATCTAATGGATTTTACAATTCATTATGTGCTTTATACAAAGGCATTCAATAAATAGTAAAATAAAGCGATGAGAATTTTCTTTTTCAATTTTTGTGGATAAAAAATGTATCGTCAGGTAAAAAAGCCTGACAATTTAATGCTCATACATTTTTTTGGTAACACTTACAAATATTAAAGATAAGCATGATTATTTTTAATATGCATTTAAAGTTCAAAGTTCAAATATTTAAAAAAATCCCGAGAATTTGAAAAATTATTTTTCAGTTAGAAATTCATATTATTATTTGTACAAATATGGCTTACACATCGTCTCCCATCAGAATCATTGTTTGTATACAACGATTTTCCATTAAATTCAAATCTTACACATCAATTACAATGGCATGCTCGACAACACTACTGTATAGCAGAGTGGTACCCGCTTGTAACTTTTTTTCGAAATCTGATAGGAAACATATTAAATAAGACCTTTCTGGAGTACGATAAATTTCCAATTTATAGCAGTAGATATTTATAGTAACTAGTTGGCAGTAGCTATAACTACATAACTTTTACAGCCTTGTTGCTGTTCTAAAAAACTAGTAAAAACTGCATTTTACGAAAGTCAAAAATAAATTACCTCTACTCCTTAATATTGATGTCTGAT